GGCATCACAGTATGGTAAGGGGCGTAACATTTCCGTCACACGCTTGAGGAATTCGTCCAATCACAACGCACTGGATAGCTGGCCAATCAGCGTACACCTAGCTTTTCAGAGCGATGAGCTTTGTAAAAATCGACGCGTTTCAGAAAGGCGGGGCATAGAGGATCAACAATAATGTACATTATGTGGAAAATAATGTGTATTTTTAACCTTAAACCGCATAAACACATTGCATTACACCAAATACACAACATGATGGTCTTTTTAGCAACGTCATATGACCCCTTTAACAAATTATTCTAAACAATATCGGGGCAAAAATTACAAAAAACATGATTACCGATTAAAAGTTTTACTTATCTCTGTGCCCTAGTTTAAACATTTTCAAGATTTAAGGATGTGCAGATATCTCTGAAATCACCATTAGTACGTTGAGCACAGCTCATGTTACTGGTAATGAAGAACACTTTCCTCTTCCCCAAGCACCTAAAACAGGAATAGGTCTCTAACACTATTTCTGTACTTTATTAATTTTTTCAAGCTACAGAGTGGCAGACAGGATGCCACTGGGCTTTCCTAATTATAAACCTCATCTTTCTGATCAGAAAGGAAATGCTGGAAAGAGAAAGAGGCAAAGGAGAAGCAAAACAAGGGGACAGACAGGGGAAAAAAAATATTAAAAGCATTTCAAAAAAAGTGTGTTCTATCACCTTGGAATGGGCTGGAGGCCTGCTGGGCCAGTGTCAGGTGCTCCTCGTTCAGGTGGTACACGGGCTGGTGCTGGTTGATCTCCACGCTGGTGCACACATTACTGTCTCCATGCAGGAAGAACGTGAAAGAGCAAGACAGGTGTTCTCTGAGAAAGAGAGATAGAGAGACAGGTGTTTAAGTTACACAGTAGCACATGTGCCTCAAAAAGAAGAAAAAAAAACATGGATTAATCATAAAGACCCAACAACTATGGATCATCTGACTGGATTTCTAGCATACTTTACAAGTCATATAATCAGCGTCACTGAACTCTTGTGAATCATTTAATCGCCATCTGATGAGATCATTAAATTCCTAAGACAGAATATGATTCATTTTTAACTCTAAAAACAGTACTGTCAATATCTCAAACGCGTGAGAAACATCACATGCCATTGAGATGCAAGTGTCTGCTCTTTGACCTCAAGGATTACACTGTGTTTGGCCCTTCTCCTCATGAATATGCATGAGGACCTTTAATATATGTAACAGGACAATAACACTTCTACATTAGTCACACTCTGAGCTCTGTAAAGCCTGAGTTCTGTGAAAATCAGTCCAAACTACACCAGCTTCTTAATATGTGCTTAAAATCCTTCGTTCCACGGCGCATTAGAGTTGCTCTGCTGATCTGGAATCATCGCAGGCATTAAAGCAACTTAAAGCAAAACTAGTCCATTGGCAAAATTACTAAACCAGAAAAACCCCTTGTATTTCCATGAAATGTCATTGCATTAAGCTTTAAAAGGAAACATTTGTGAAATAAAGGCAAGTCCCTGCATGAATTAATTACGCTTACTATGACAATTTCCGCATTTACTATTGCTCATACTTAAGGTTAGACATCTGAACAAGCCCCCTAAACCTAAGTATTAAACTTCATATCACACAAAGTTTGTGCCACGAACGTGAATGACGCCTCAAATAATGTGGTTTGTTGAGAAGAGGTATGCTATTAATTTTCTAAGCAATCAGATTTTATCCCTGAACATGTTAAAATAACAACTTGCACTGAAGAAGGAACGCAAACTATATCTAGGGATAAGAATAACAAAGACTTGCTTTGTACAGTGTCATTTGCTCCAACTGCTTTATAATGACGGTCATAAACCCAAAGAAAGTCTCTCCAAAAACAAAGTATAGGCAGCATGCCATCAGTATGGACACTAGCCAAACATCTGCATTTAGAGAGTGAGAGAACCATAGAAGAGGTTCAGCCACTAACCCACAGAGACAGACACTGATTTGCAACTACGTCACATCTAAACAGAGTAAACACGCCACACTGACCCCTTGCATTTCTACAGCTCTCAGATTTTGCTAGGGATAGCCTAATGTTTTACAGCAGGCTGCCCCCTGTAGAGATAGTATCGCAACTGCGGTCTGACGCCATTGCTTCGTTATTTCAGTCGCACACCGGTCTTAAACTTTCTCAACAACAACGCACACAAAAGGAGGCTCTCTGGGTGAGCTAAATACTGCTGCACCATCACATTTGATCACATGGTCTACACACACACTGAGCTCAATAACAGCATGCTCCTGAAGTTCTCTATTCAGCGGCAGACAGAGAAATCAGTGTGTGCATCACTGAAAAGAAAACACTTTTTCCAGTACTCGCCCGATACAAATACTTTTATTTTTGGTACTTGCCGATACCGATATTTTTATTGCATTTGTAAATTTTTAAAATATTGGGTACAGAAACCAAAAGAGTATGTATAATGTTAGTTGGTTAACTTCATTTATCAAATAGATAGTCAAAAAAATTATTCAGACACCTTCAACATTTCTCACATTATCACAGTTTATTCGCTATAGTTTAGAAAATGGTAATAAAATATGACAAAATCTCAGAATTTAACTGTGTCAGAACAAATTCAGCTTGATAATATTAGATAACATTGATAGAAAGGTATGTAATGGATTACAATCAACCAACAATTATTCAGACAGTATGACAGTATTTACACAACTATCCATACTTAGTCGGGCAACCTTTAGCCTTAATGACAGCCTGTAGTCTCCTGGGCATGCTGTCACCCAGCTTCATGCAAACCTGAACTTCCCCAGACTCGGTCTGAATAATTTTTGGGCCCAAATTTGTATCAGTTTTACTGGTAGTCCACTGTATGAAGAATTTTTGGGTATAATTTGTCACAGCTTACTTTATTTATCAGCTCGCGCACATCAGCTATACAGGTGTTAATACTGAATGTTTAACATTATATTCATTGCATATACTTCGTAGACATCCTTAATCTCTAATAACTCCATTCTGCTGTCTGTTGTTGGTGTTTCTTTGTTTGAATATGGCACATATCACATGCTGTGTGGTATCGGCGTTTGGTATCGGGGCATTTTAACGAGTACGAGTACAAGAGCTCAGTATCAGGCCCGATACCGGTGCATCCCTAGTCCCCGCACTAGTAAACAGAGGCCAAAAATAGAGCTCAGGACACCACTACTCCTGATGACACAAGCTAATCCATTGCATTTCCAGCTAAAAAGCAAGAAAGGAAGAAAAGAAAGGGCAAGAGGTCACAAATAGGTAACATGAACCTATTTGTGAGGTTTAGAGGGAAATAGGACCAGACTAAATAAATGAGCATTAACAAAATTAAGAAAAGCTTGTGGTGAGAAAAAAAGCATGAGAAAGTAAGAGAAAAAGAGAGGTAACATTCTACAGCTGTAGTATTGGGCTGTTACTGACTTCCTGAAAGCAGTGGCTCTGGTCAGGGCGTAGCAAACTCCTACTACAAAACCCACAAACACGCTTCACATCTCAACGACTTCACACACACAGCACACCCAGGCACACAAACAGGTGGTGTCTGCGGCCCCTTGGCTGAGTCGTCTGAAAAGCATCCAAAATACTTTACATCTAATTGTCTTGCATTTAACTGTCTTGTCAAGTTGAGCGCGTTTAAAGAGCTACTGGAAGAATCCCACTTCAGTCTTATGAGTGTGTTAGTGTTATGAAAACTGGGGGGGAAAAAGCTATAAAACTTCATTTAAAATTAAAATGAAAACAGAAAATCTAAAAAATCAAAGCTAATTCAAATTTTAACAAATACTTTAATAGTATATAAATAACACTAAAAATCACCATTTTGTTAATGTTAAACGAGAAATTATGTGGTAACAGTCAGGACAAACATCAGAAATTCTGTCATTTATTCTTTACATGTCATTTTTAGTTTTGAGCGAACTACCCCTTTCTCTAAACCACATGACAAACTGTCTGTCTTCCATCACCTGACCAATAGCAGTAGCAAGATCAGGTGATCAACTGTAGAACATGCCGTTACACACCCTCTCTCCAAACCAAAGCCCTGGAAGACGTCAGCCACAGTACTGAAGTGTATTACTAACAGCAGAGTGTTTACCACAAATAGAGAACCGAGACTCTCTGAAATACCTTTAGATTAAAGCAGTCGACCACAGAGCAACGGCAGTTAACACACACAAACATACACGGTCTACTGCATCCATCAAAGATCCTCCAAACAAAGCCTTTATACACACAGAAGAGGACATCCTCTCACTCATTCATAAAGCGTGGCCTTTAAACCAAGTGCTTAGAGTCAATAAGAGAACTTAAAAAGCCTCTAGACTCGATGACTAGAGCTCGTATTCTGCGTGCTTTAGCTGTTTGCCTCATCATAACAGCTGAACAAACCCGGCGAGACTTTTCTCAAACAAAACGTTTGTTAGTCAACAGTCACTTATGCTAATTAAATGTTTATTGATCTTGTGTAACAGGCTTTCACTAAATACAAAGCCAACGTTCGAACTAAAAGAGGACCTGATTGGCTGCACGCCTCGGAGACTCTCAATCTTTACAAAGATTATCACAACAGCCGCACACAGATGGGTTTTGAAGAACACTTTAATGCGAAATTTGTTTTTAAAACGAATAAACAGAAAACAATCAATCAATACCAACAGTCCCTAATACTGTATTTGGCTTTTAAAGCTGTAATTTCTGAGCCACAAAAATTTGACAGCTAGACTGATTTTTCTTTCTTTTTGGACTTTTGCATCCAAGCTGATGTAGATTTACTCTATAATGCTCCTTGAGCCAACACACCCCTCTAAAGCAGGCCATTCCACCCTGACTTTCTCAATGCACCGCCCATAAATTTTCAACCTCAAAATTAAACTTTACAGGAAAAAGGACTATTTTAATCAACATGCATTTTTAAAATAAGGGGAGGTGCCAGACCGGAGACCCTGGAACATCTCCACGGATTGTAAATCTATCCACAACGGACACTCTGCGCACACACACACTCCCTTAGAGCAAAGATAGGAGCTTCAGTCAAGGCCATAGTGTAGTGAACATCTGAGGAGGAGACGAAACCGAAGAGAATAAAAAGGCGAGAGAAACTGATCAAATTGGAAAAGGAGAGTTGACACTTTAGCATTCACCAATATCTATAACCAGTGTGTGTGTGTGTGTGTGTGTGTGTGTGTGTGTGAGAGAGAGAGTGGAGGACAGGAATGGGAAGTGAGAGAGTAGGAGTTCTGGAATGTCAGGAATCTCACATCAGTCTTGTGGAACTGAGCTCAGAAAGCAGCGGAGAGGAGGTAGATTTACACCAGCCCAGATTTACTATAGCGTGAGTTTATCTGAACCCGTCCAGGATTGATGGGTAGAAAAATGGTTCTCAGACAATAATGATATAATCTGGACATGCCTTTGAAGTTTCAGCATGAATCAATTCTGCACACACATCCAAGCCCCGTTTTATTACATTTAAAGTATTTAAACATAGTAAAATTTGTGAAACAAAGCACCAAACTCTAACTGGTATGATAGCATGAATTGAAAATTCACCCTATTTTCTAAATGCTAAATGTTATTGTGAATGATTCATCCATGCATATTTATTATTTAATTTGAGTTTGTAATTTTTCATAAATTAACAACTATCTGGTGACAGGTAGTCCACAAACTTAACAGTCTAGAAAACTACAAGAAAAAAATGGTAACACTTCAGTATAGGGACCAATTCTCACTATTAACTAGTTGCTTTTTAGCATGTCTATTATTAACATATTGGCCGTTTATTAGTGCGTATAAAGCACATATTCTGCATG